GTTTACGTTAGCATAAATTGCCTCGGGGCCTCCTCGAGGCGTTTAATTCGAACGCCGCGTGTAAAATTGACAGAAGACGCTCCTTCGCAGAGGGTTGGAGTGCTCCGCTCCGTCGCCCGTATGATAGCTGATTGACGTTTAATTTTTGCACCCCACGAGGTGAGGACATTTTACCGAGAAGAGGTACATTTTTAGCGGCATATCAATGTACCATCTAAGATTATATCTTTACTGACTTTCATGGCCAGCTTTTGGATACCTAAAAATAATCTCACATGCTCGACGGTTATGACGGATACATGAACATAACACAATCCTGAAAACTGCATACTTCCCCGTGAACGCATACGTAATGGCCTCAGCGTCAGCATTTTGCACGTACATACAACGCAAATTACTTCCTGTTGAGAATTTCGTTACTTAGAACAAAGGCCATTCATGAGGGAGGGGCCTTTTGAACACGAGCGTGCAATGGAACGTACAGAGCTCCAGTACATATCACTTGTGGAGGTAGTCCGGGAGTGGGACACGTGCGCATCATGCATACTCCGTATCAGATATGCAAATGAGTGGCCGGAGCGTGCCAAAGCACTCGCAACCCGCGTCCTACTATGAATTCCGCACAACGACATACCGGGCGCATTACGCCGAAGCGAATGGAGATGTCCCCGACAATGATGATGCCAAAGCCGGCGAGAGATGACTCTCGCGCAGCGGCGAATGAAAAAACGTATGCCATCGGACTGGACCGGTTTTAAATTTGCTAAAAAGTACTCCAATTATAGCTTTTTTAGTAGAAATAAGTACTCATTGGAGTTTAAAGCTTTATTAGTAAAAAAAAAGTACATTAAAAAAGTATTCAAATAGCTTTATTAGTAGAAAATGCGAGAAGCTTTTCAGTGTTCCGTACGCAAAGAGTAAAATGGGAACTAACTACACACTTAACATTACTAATTCTCCGCTGTCTGTCTGTCTGTCCGTCAACAGGCTGTATCTCATTGCCTCATGTATTTCTGTTGCCGCAATAATAACATAGACAGAATAAAAAATGTTTAGGTTGGGCCATACATGAGACTATTAATTTTGCCGTTTTTATAGATATGGATGAATGATACGGAACCCTGCGTGCTCGAGTACGACTCGCAATTGGTCGGAATTTTTATGTCACATTCAGGTTAAATGGTGATAAAGATTAATAGTAAAAAAAAAATAAGTTATTATGTAATATAGTATGCAGAAAATTTGTACAAAATAAAATTTATGATGATACTAATGAAAATGACCAACGAAAAATAGTATGAAGACATGTGGCCGCTGACATTAAAATACCTTTAACACAAAATATCAAAACCAATGTGCACGTACGCAGACTTTATTACTCTCTATTCATTGTTTGGGCTGCTATAGATTCGTGAAAAGGTGGTATTATAAAGAGGTGAAAATAAAACCGGCTAAAACTTGAAGAAAAAGTCTTTACCTAGTTTCATTTATAAATTTTATAATCATTGTTACTTCTCTTCAATAATGGAAAGGATTTACATACAGAATTGTTACTATTATTATACCATACAGCATCCACAAGAGAGGCCAATTCAAGCCCCTCGGAGATGCGGCATTCGGAACACGTATAGGCAAACAAGAGCATCAAAGCCGAACTTTTAGAAAGTAAAAGTTGTCCATTAGGGCGGCAACGGCCGTAGACTGTTTATTGAAATAGTAATGGTCGTGGGGGGTTGGGGGGGAGAAGGGTAATTTTTAAAAATTGCCAAGCACGAGCGCCCCGCACATTCGGCAGCAGTTTAACGTCGGCTATAACAGTAAAGTTCATAGCTAAAGTTCGCCCCCGTCGAGTTTCGCGGATTGCCGCGTTGCGTTCGCCAGTTCAATTTCGCCAACGCTCTCGGCTAATAAGTATTTTAACGTTGAACGTAATGCGTATCGTTTATTGGATGCACATACATCGTTTATTGGATACACATAAGGAATGTTTGCGATTTATTCCCAGATCGAAAGTGAATAAGCAAGAAATGAAACCCTTTTTTCAACATAATCTTCGGAGTATTCACAACTTTTAATTTCATTGTCATAAACGAATAAAGCAGCTACGCAATAAAGGGTACAAATCAAAGCCTTCATGATTCATGTCTCGAAAGCCGTTGATGTTACGTGAAGGGGCCGGCTCGCCCTCGAAACTATAAGTTAGGGAAGACCAGGGACTTTATTAAAAAAGGTTGGCAGCTCGCGTTCCATCTACAAAGCGCCGATTACTCGTAGAGTATTGTAGATGCCAAACGGCAGCTGTCACTTTACCCTGAACGTCTTGTGAACAACTTGCTCGTTTGTAAGCTTCGAGCACTAAAAGCCAGTGGTGTCGGCTACACATGTCCCACTGCTAGGGAAATGCCTAATCTCTTTAGGGCATTAGGTGGACCATCCGGCCCCAATGCGAATTGGCGGACTTCACATATCTTCGAAATATTGTTTTTTGTGATTACATATTTGTGTACATGTTTTTGTTGTTTCTTCACGGGCGGTATGTACCTTTCCCGCTGAGCAAGTGATAAGTCAGCACTTAAAACTAACGATTTCATTGCTGCTGGCACCGGGATTCGAACTGGGGTTGCACGAGTATATCGCATTACAGACGAGCGCCGGGACACTGGGCTATCGCGGCATCGGCTAGCAACGACGCTAATCACTGCATCGCCCCCTCGCCTGAACGTTCGCTACGAGAGCTACAAAACTGCCGATGACAAAGCCATCGGGCCGGTCAAACCATTAGCCGGGCCGATGGTCGTGTCGCCAGCAGCGACCCAATGTAATTACGGCCGCGATTACTCTCGCCCGTTCGCCGCACCATTTTTACGAGTGCACTCGCCCACTCGTGATTGCGATTCGCTAATCGATATCGACGGACGGAGGCGAGCTCTTTTATATGTATACACTTTTTGATTTATCGAGAATCACATGTGTCCCGCTTGTTTTCAAATTTAGTAGTACCTATATATAGGCTAGGCGAATTCGAAAAGGATTTGTATTTTATTAAACATAAGCGAGAAAACTTTTCACATATTAAAAAAAAAACTGTTTTCTTTATGTCTCTATCGATTATAAAAATTAAATCTAGGTACTTGTAATAGAACTCTAATAAAATTCTTCATAACAAAACTCGCATCTGATAAAAAAATCCTTCCCTAAAATAAAACAAAACAAAGAAATCCATGCAAATGCGTATTAAATACAAAACAAGAAAGGACTAGATAACACCTCCCATATTTTTCCACCCGTGAAAAGTTAGAACTGTTGATGACCAAGTTAATAAAATAATTGACTACAACTTGAAACCTGAAAATTCTACAAAAACAACCGTTCTTGTTTTTTTTTTTTTCATCTTCGCTCCAATCTGATTCCGTCGTTGTGAAAATCTCCCAGAGCGTATCTCGCAAAGGAAGCTTGGAGCTGGTAACAATAACAACACTTAGCGGAGTGACTTTCGGAATTTCGGTTAGTGCCGTCGTTAAAGTAAGTTCGGCCGTTTGGAGCCGTCGGGATGTGTACGTACATTCGCCGGGTTGGAAAAAATGGAGGGGGGGGGGGGGGTGTCCCAATTACCCCACTCCCATAAAAAGTAAAAGAGTATTATGCCGTCTTTATATATTATGTTACGAGCTTAATACGGAAATTTTGCATTTTGTTTCAAAAAAAAGAGTGGCAAAGAAATGCAAGTTGGAAAACAAAATATGGCTTTTAATATTACTTAAATGAATATTTGATGCGTTCGGTTAAGTTTCAAAACGTTTTGTTTAAAACACTTAAACAAACGCTAGAATTAAAATACATTTTATAACTTTTTTCAATAACAAAAATTCGCTGATTTATATTATTTACTTAGGTATTTAATTCACAAATGTTACTCATAATGAATTAAATCAATTATAAATAAATGTTATATTATAACAAAAAAAAAAAAACATTTTCCTATTTAAGAAAACGACTGTTTCAATTTAAACAGCATAACGAGTAGCGGATTAGGTTTACCGAGTCATTTGTCAACATTCAGAAATTATCTATTAGAAGTTGACAAACAAACGCTACTAGTTATTTGTCAACTTCTAATCTTCTCTAATAGCTAGTGAAATGTCTATAAAGTCATACTTTTTTAGTCTTTAATTTAAGAGAAGAAGAAAAATACGTTTACGTTTTTTTTTATGTGAAAAGTTGCCAAGCGAGCAGACGGTTCACGGTGATGTTAATTGAATACCACCGCCCATGGACATGATAAAAATGTAATAATCTCAATAAACACGAAAAGTAACGCAACAACTCGTGTTGATAATCGATTGATCGTGGAGATAATTGTAATGAACTTAAAAATAAATTAAATACATTTTAAATAGAACGCGAAAATTTCATCAACGAAGCAGTCAATCGTCAGTATTTTGAACCGCCCACTTTCCTGGTGGTCTCAGAGGCACCTTTGTGTAATTGGGTCGTTTATTTCTCCGGTACATATATTTCATAAAACATAAAATATTTTTACCACAGCATATCTAACATAGAAGCAAGCTTTTTTTTCTGAACCAGTTGATGATGCTCCTAACAAGCTAGTGAACTGTGACACCCAAGAACAGAAGCCGAGCTTCGGTAGTGGGAAATGAAGTATCTTCCCATCACCAGTTCTTGCAGAGTGAGACTCCTTCTAAAGAATTCACGGACTTTACTTGATGCGGATACGACGCTCCTAAATAGTACGTGATCTACTTCACTCGTGAACAGAAGCGGAGCTTCGGTAGTGGGAAATGAAATATCTTCCCATCACCAATTCTTGCAGAGCGAGACTCCTTGCGTTCGCGGGTTTTTAAACTACGCAGTGACGACGCTCATTGTAAGTAAGTGACCTACATCACTGATCGGGAACCGAAGGGAAGTTTCGGTAACGAGAGATGAAACGTCTTGTCAGAGCCAGTTCCTGGGGAGTGAGCCGCCTTCTGGAAAATTACCTGGTGCGGGGGTTGCGAGGCGGGCGGCAGGTGCGGCGGATGCTGGGCGTCGTGCGTTGGCGACAGGGGCCCGGCGGAGGGCGGAGCGCCCGGACTCGGCGCGCCGGCCGGGTGAGAAGGCGGCTGCGGCGAACCGCCGCGCTCGTAGCCCTGCAATAAAGCCCGGTGTCACATTCTCCAATTCGAGGAATCGTACGATGAGCGAAACCAGTCGCACACTGCCTATTCTATTTTTGTACCATTCTAAGAATGAGTGAGTCGCCCATGTATTCGGAGTTGACAGTAGGATATTAATTTTATGTAACTTCTTTTCATCATCATACTTCTCCGGCCCTTATTCCACCTAGGTGTGGTCGGCACAAAATGTGAATCATGTTTTAAGCAGTTTTGGCATAAAATGTTATCACTGGCCGCCTACCTGACGTCCTTGCGAAACAAAAAACCCAGATCCGCAACAATTATCTGTGAATCACACAAATACTTTCCCAATAGCTTGGTAACGGCGCCACCAAGTCATCTTAATAACTTCTTTTATTGACGCGAATCTTCTTTTGTTAAAACTAACATTGATGAAGTTGAATAATGTAAAGGTTAGAAGTAGAAGATCGTTTTCCATTTACTCTACTCAAACACTTCCTCTAGTCACCAGGCAAACTTCTTTGACGTAGTTCAGCTCTATGCAAATTTCAGAACGTAGCATATCATCTCAAAGTTTATGAGAAGGTACTGACGTCCAGTTAGGAACCAAATTCGAGAACAGCCGAAAACATGAAGTTTAAAAAGAAAAAGTTATAATTGAAATCTTTAAGGTTCAAAGTTCGATTTTTAAAAGATCTTTGAAGACATGCTTTCTCAAAGGTAGCAGAATTATTTACTAACCTACTTACTAACATACTTATTACTTTGACAATGGTATGGTACCAAATATGGTTACAGATATTTACGGAGGTCTTAGTGAACTATCATAATATCTGCTATCAATGAATACGCTGATAACAGCTTTGTGTCGGTAGTAAGAAATAGCATATGAGATTAAAAACACTTTCATAAGGAATTTCAATTTCAGTGTATCGAACTATTCGGAACACGGCTTACGGTCAATGGTAAAAAGTATAGTTACATATTATCATATACAGTCATCGAATCGTACGTTCGTTCGATCATATCACGGTAATAACTGATGTTCATTTGACAGTGTTACTGCTTTATTATTTGGTTTACGACCCCAAATTAGACGAGACAGGTGATAGTACTACATCATAACTGAACCTAATATTTTTATATCCGTGTAACAAAACAGGCGAAGGGATCTGATATAATTTGCTCTCAAATAATTTTCTTCAATCACTATAGTGTATATTACTTAACAATATTGTTTACATTTATTATACTCGAATAAACTGTAGAAGAAAAGATTCTGTTTCTAAATTAAGTGAATATTTTATTCTTTTCAAAGTCAAAATTTCTTTATTCAATATACACTTAATTTCAGCTATTATTGAACGTCAAAACAAAACGACTACCACAGATTTACTAAACTAGAACGGACCAGAGAAGACGAGAAAGAAACTATGCGGTCTTGTTATCTCCTTCGTTTTTAGTGATATAATTATACAATTTATTTAAGTACACAATCAGAAGCAGCCAGGGTACTTAGAAAATGCAAATCAAGAGTCATTTTTTCACATCGTTTTCTGCAATGTATTCTTTGATATTTTAATGGGCCCTTGCTATTAGTATTTTACAAAATGTTTGAAATGGTTTATACTTAGTTATTTATGGATCTCGCCTATTGTATTATAAAAGTTAATGCATCTATCATAATGGTTCTAGCCAGTCTAAACCTAGGTGCTTCCAGAGGTCACCGCGGCCCAACATTGCTTTTAATATAGCGTAATAAACATTATACAAAAATAATTGTCTTAAAAAATTAAGTTTACAAATCCATATTTCTTAATTAATTATTTCTTAATAAATATTATTAATTAATTTTCGCTAAAAATTTGAAGTATAACTCCAACGAAATTTTCTTCAAAGATTCCTTATATCGGTCTATGCTGGAAAACTAGAGGAAATTTATTTCGGGCCCATGCGTTTCACGTGGGGCCTCGGTCAGCGTTACGGCACGTTGCCACGTGTGCGCTTGTGCATAAGTAGATAGACGCAAAGTTTAATTTCAAACGGCGCAAGCACACATCCATACCCACACATACATACAAACACAGGCGTATCAGTCGCAGGATAAAACAATTGGGCGCGCGCAATAGCGGGTTCGTCGACCACAGGCGGCCTTGACCGTCTACCCATTATGCACACCCGTTTACTTGCGAATAAGTGCACCTCCACGCATCCATATTGTTTTATAGCCGCGTCGTTAGAGCGCGGCCCCATTCACAACGTAAAACAAAACCCATCTATCTTTCAATGGCCGCCGTTCGATTTAAAGAAATATCACGCACGAAATAAGACGCAAAGTACAACGAGGAGTGTTTTTACGCCGACGAAAAAAAAACGCGTGGTGGATAAAAAAAAACTCGCAATTCAAGGAAACGTAACAACACTATCACGAAGACATCAATGGCACAAAAGCGTTCCGTCGTCTCATTTGAATCAACTCTATCTAGCGCACGTACCTTGGCGTATACTTAGTGGTTACAATGAAGAGAATTACTCTCATACATAATTGAACGGGACCGCTACAATGTTGGGGCGAAACGGCACACTTCGAAACACATTACATTGTTAGTGCCAGGCAATGCTTTCGTATCGACTGACTTCACAATAACGAACTCGTCAATCAACATTGAATGAGGTTTTTTTTGCCCCCTCTCCTCTCCTAGCCTCGCCCTCCTCGTCTATATCAATAAACCGAAACGGAGAACGAAACGAGGCGACGTAACTCATTCATTACAAATTCATTACTGTAGCGGCGCGTCCTCGACACAGTTTGCTAGTTGCGCCGCAGACATTGATTGCATCAATCGCACAATGCTTTCACTCGGCAGCTAGCTAGTTTCCGCGTCACGTTTCAAGGCTAGAGATAAGGTTAGACCGATATCCGTCGCACCAGGTCAATACGAGTCATTCGCTTTGCGCTCTGTTTACTTTATCTCCGCAGTTATTGTCCGCAATTGTTTTCGTGATGTGAGTTTACTATCTCTAATTAGCTTCGAATTTGCAAAACGTTTCTATTAATATAAAAAGGGCATATGTGTACGGAGATAGTGTGTACGTTGATAGCTTGTGAAGTTAGTGTCCACGACGCGGTCCTAAAAATATAAAGCAATTGAATTTGTAGTGATTGCTTAATCGGCTTACAATAGATCGAGATAATAGGCTCGCCGTAAGAGGAGTCCGTAAGGCTGTACGGACGCATAATTGGATACGGAGCGCCCCATTTGCCGACAAAGCCGATTACTATACAACACCTGATGAAAGGCACCTAACCCTACTATTACGCTCATTTGTCGCTGGGACGTATCTTGAACTTTTCTGTGGTAGGGCCACGCAACAGTCCTCGCTGTTGCACGAATGGGCAGACCCGTCCGGGGAAGTACCACGACCTAGCAGAAGACCGGCGTGAAGTGGAAGCGTTACACTTCTGGGTGTCAACGAATCTGCAACCATAAGGGTATCGCGAAGGGGCGGCTGTTATCACTTAACATCAGGTGAACCGTCAGTTTACTCGCCACGTACTCACATAAAAAAAAAGTTCGATCCCGATGACATATAACAGCATCGTTGTAAATGTGAGAGGAAAGTGAACACATCGCGACAATGGCAACATTTTCACAGGCCGCGTGGCCGAAAAACCTTCAGATGTCATCAAAAACGGCGGGCAGCGATCTGGGGGGGTGGCGGTTGTAAGTCGCGTTCGAAACAAAACGCAAAGAATCCCAAGACTCTCGCTGAATAGTAATGCTATGTCGAATGAGAAATCGAGGCGCAGTTGTGCCCCGTTCGAAGCATCCGCGTCGTTTCGCCGACCAATCCATCAAAGGAGGGCCCGTCTGGATCGGGTGTGAGTGCCTCCCCCCCGTACCCACATAAATATTGCGGGTACGGTGAGCACAAACCCTTTGACCGAGTTCTGTTTACTTTCGTTTTCGCTCAGCTGACGGGGCCGCCACCCCCGGTTGTGTAACGCCACTATTATTATGATAATTACGAGCAATCAACTACATGTCCCACTAATTGCGGCGAGCGCAATGCGACGCGACAGAACGGCCGGCCGCATCCAATTCAGCGACGCACAGAATTAGGCAGTTGTTGATTACATTACAAATCGTGCACCGGCGAGTTGCTTTGCAAATTCGATTGAAAGTTGTGGCGGGGTTGCACTGAAACGGATCCTTCCGAGTCAATGATAGTTGGTGACGTGCCGTAGGCTAGGCGTATTGTTTTTTTTTTTTCGCCGCCTTCCTTTTTGAGACGTTGGTGTGAGAGTGCGGCGGAGAGCACTCAAGGTTGCAACGGGTTCGGACGAGACAGACGGGGCGCCAGACGTGCATTATTAGGTGGGTGCCGGAACACCCACGGGTGTCGCGGGTGGCCGTGGTGTATCGGGGGTCGGGCGGGGGGGAGCGGGGTGGGGTGCGCGTACGTCATCACCTGAGGCGCGCCCTTGAAACCGGCGTCGCATTCATTGCACCCGGTAGCGGGCCGTATTACCGAGCCCGCGATACCCGCACTCAAGATTCCACCCAACTATTTCACAAGTGGCACGGGCACCCCGCGCTCAGCTACCCACAAGGCAATCCCGAAGAGCCACTCCGTTCACACAACACGCGACGTTTGACAAACTACAACATCTATTTAAGTTCCGCATGTTATGACCTCACACTTGACACTATTCTATTGAATAATGATTTACAATGGGCAGCTGAACTTAAACAGATGCTTCACGCCTTTGTGCTTTGGCATCATTACAATAGTGTGGGTTGGACGAAGAATTTATACGTAACGTAAGCAGCATATTTCTAGACTGTTGTTTCAGTTATTTTATGCATTTCCTTTCTTAAAGTTGCGTGAAGACACAACTTTAGAATAAATCAATACTTCTATTGACAGTAATATATTTTGAACTCTTTTAACTGTCCTTAACCATACATGTGTTTCTAAATAAACGAATATCGATTACCATTACTTTT